TTTACCTCTTCCTCCGCGCTCCCCGGCGGCTGCAGACCTGTTGGTTGGCCTTTTCTGCAATGGGTAGCTCCAGTTTTGGTATCTAGAGTAGCAATTGTGCTCAGATGCTTAAAAAAAGCTGTCAGCCGCTTCTGACAATGACAGATTGTTAAGTACCCTGCAATCACAGACGCCCAGTTGCTACTATACATTACCAGATTATGAATTTAGAGCTGTCCTTGCCAACGAATCGTATATGAGCATCGTACGCCTCCTTTAGCTGCCAGTTTGACGCAGAGTTCGTCATGCCCCAGAACGGGCTGCGATCCCCCCGAGTGGCTGGCTGAGAGCCCCCCTCCCGAGCTGAGCTAAACCTCCCCGTTCGCAACGCTTGCGTCTTGCAGCGTAGCGTGAGGAGCACGGCTGTTTCCAGTGCTGGGCTGATAACCTAAGCTGTGAGGTTTCTGTTATTCATAGGGCAAGTATTTATTAGCAGAGGATAAGTTTACAGGGGAATTTTGCTTGGCATTAAAAATCATTGGAAATGTGTACATTTTATTAGAATACATACATACATATATATACAGTAATCAAAATGAGCTGGTATACTAGAGCATATGAGCTGTGCACCCCTCAGCCAAAAGGTGTAACTACTGCTTTTCGCGGAGTTTTTCAAACATGCAGTTGTATTTCAGGACTTAAAATTTTTCATTTTGATAACTGTGTATGTGCGTGTGTGTGTGTGTGTGTGTATGTACAATCACCACAGGCACAGCATTAATTCCTTTGAAATCAGAGGCTGCCAAAAGCCATCTTCGTACGCTCTGAAGTAAGTTCTTTGTTTGATGCCTCCTGTAATCTGACAGAAACTTTGCTGTTCTCCATCAATGCCTGAGGGGAAAGATGTGAGGTGTAATTTCAGGGCATATGTGGATCTGTTCATCCTGAGCAATGCATTTTAAGAGTTGCAGCAAATAATAGTGTAAAGAAGCCTACAGGTATTACATTAGACCAGCTGAACCTAATTTTAAGTTTTATTCAGAAGCATCACATAGCAAGTAAACTTCAAAATTTAAGTTTAGTTACAAACTAGTTGTTTCTTATTTTTTTTTTCCAGTCCCCTTTTGCTTTCTTTTACGACCACATGAAACTTGAGAAGCCATCTAAAGCTAAATCATTTAGTGGAGTTGGGCAATTCCCAAGTGTCCAACAAGAAGGCCTGGTTTAGGCTGCGATGGCCACTGTCATTCCTGGTGATTTGTCAGAAGTAAGAGATACCCAGAAAGTCCCTTCAGGGAAACGTAAGCGTGGTGAAACCAAACCAAGAAAAAACTTTCCTTGCCAACTGTGTGACAAGGCCTTTAACAGTGTTGAGAAATTAAAGGTTCACTCATACTCTCACACAGGAGAGAGGCCCTACAAGTGCACACAACAAGACTGCACCAAGGCCTTTGTTTCTAAGTACAAATTACTAAGGTATTAAACTCTATTTATCTTTCAGATTATATTATCTATTTTATGTTGGCCGTGTTAAGCCTTGTAAAAGTATATATTTGTGTACGCCTTCAGCTGATTGCAGAGAGGATGTGTTTATTAAAAGTAGACATTGGATTGTTTCTAGAATTCTAAATTACAGTGCATAAGTTTACAAGCTAATGTCTTTGATTTTGTTTCTTAATTTGTTTTCTGTTTTTGTTTTCTGTTTGTTTGTTTTTTAATGAGAATAGAATTTTCGTTTGTATAAGGAATTGTCACAAGAAAAGAGTATGGACTGAAAGATTTTTTGGCTATGGACTTTTACACAAGTACTTTCATACTTGCCCATATACCCCTGTTACAGTAGCTAAAAGCCACCAAAAAACTAAAGTGTCAATTTAAGAGAAATGGCTCGTGTTTTGCTATATTTTAATATGTCAAACTATCTTTGTAGTGTCATGCTTTGAGTTAAAAGGTTCTGTTGCAAAGCAACCTTAGTGTAGTATTTAGCTGCCATTAAAAAATGAACACATGTATCTTTTTGATCAAAATAATTACTTACAGAATATATCTGTGTTTAAAGGCATATGGCTACTCATTCTCCTGAGAAAACCCACAAGTGTAATTATTGTGAGAAAATGTTTCACCGAAAAGATCACCTAAAGAATCACCTACATACACACAATCCCAACAAAGAGGCCTTTAAGTGTGAAGAATGTGGAAAGAACTACAACACCAAGCTTGGGTTCAAACGTCACCTGGCTTTGCATGCCGCAACAAGCGGTGACCTCACCTGTAAGGTATGTTTGCAGACTTTTGAAAGCACAGGAGTGCTGCTAGAGCACCTAAAAACTCATGCAGGCAAGTCATCGGGTGGAGTGAAGGAGAAAAAACACCAGTGTGAACACTGTGATCGTCGGTTCTACACCCGAAAGGATGTCCGTAGACACATGGTAGTGCACACTGGAAGAAAGGACTTCCTCTGTCAATATTGTGCACAGAGATTTGGGCGGAAGGATCACCTAACACGCCACATGAAGAAAAGTCACAACCAAGAACTTTTGAAGGTCAAAACAGAGCCAATGGACCTTCTAGATCCCTTTACCTGCAATGTTTCTGTGCCTATTAAGGATGAGCTGCTTCCAGTGATGTCTTTACCTTCCAGTGAACTGACATCAAAGCCATTTACAAACACTTTGCAATTAAATCTCTACAACACTCAGATTCAGTCCATGCAGAGTTCTGCATCTGCACACCAAATGGTTGCCACGTCATTACCATTGGGAATGCCTTGTCCAATAGATATGGAATCTGTCCACCCTTCTCACCAGCTATCTTTGAAATATCCGCTCAGTTCTACCTCATATGCAATTTCTATGCCTGAAAAAGAACAGCCATTAAAAGGGGAAATTGAAAGTTACTTAATGGAGTTGCAAAGTGGTATGCCTTCTTCATCGCAGGATTCACAAGCATCTTCATCAAAACTAGGGCTGGATCCACAAGTAGGGCCACTAGATGATGGGTCTGGGGAGGTTTCCCTTTCCAAGAGCTCCGTTTCTATTAGCGAACCTCTAAACACCCCATCGTTGGACTTTTCTCAGCTGTTCAACTTCATACCTGTAAATGGCCCTCCCTATAATCCTTCCGTTTCAGTGGGAAACCTTGGAATGAGTTATACGCAAGAGGAGGCACATTCTTCTATGACTCAACTTCCACCACAAACACAGGATCCACAAGATCCTAGCAATAGTATAGGTCTTGGGTCTCTGCACTCATTGTCAGCAGCTTTCACAAGCAGTCTAAGCACAACCACCACCCTACCACGATTTCATCAAGCTTTCCAGTAGGATGTACAAAGCTGGCTTATTACTGTCTATTTGTAGAAATGCCTTAGGTGACCATTTTTAACTTAGTGCCTACAATAAGACATTATAAATTCTCTGCTTTTGTACAGTACCGATCTCATGAAGCCAGTAAGAAATTTAAATTAACTTTTAAAAAATGTTTTGAAAGTGTTTATTCTCAACTGTTTACTTTGTTTTTTAAAAAAGTCTCATTGTATTGTTTTCATTTTCACTGCCAATTGACACACACTTAAAATACTCAATAGAAAGTCATCCCTACCAAACTTTTTACACTCATACCTTTTTAAAAACTTTTTCAACCGCATCAGTCATTCTGTTTTGGTGATTTCAATGGTAGAACTACCATTTTTACTTTTTATGTATTTTAATATTTGCAAAGAATCTCGTTAAAGTATATATCGCACAGATTCCTGAAGATTTGGGAAAAAAAATCCCCCAGTCCCTTTCCGAAAAAACCTCCCTTCCCAAATGGCAACATCTAATCTGTTCTATAATGACAAATCTAAATTTTTAAAATAGATATATAAATCAGATTTTTCTGAAAACTTGTGTGTGTATATATAGAAGTCCATATATACACATGTACATAAATATAACGTTTTGACTTATATTGAAGTCATTATAAAAGGTGTTAGGAATTTGGCCATTTTCTGGCTTAAATTGCTGTGGCCTGTTAGGAATATTGGAAGAAAATAAATTTAATTTAATTTTCTAAAACCGTGATTTAACAGAATTTGAGAGAATCTCTGCTTGCTAAATGACAAATGTTTCCAGTTGAAATTGGAACTATGTTGTGCTTTCATGACTCTGGTAGAGGGAAACAGGCAAAAACAATGGCTGATCTTGAAATATAAAAGTGTTGTAATTTAGTAATGCAGAATATTTTGTCGCAGTTTTTGTTTTAATTCTTAACTTGCTGTTTTTTTCTCTTTAGTAGCATAGAAAGAGTACCGCATAGGAATCTTCCGATAGTGTATTCACATTTGTAGGCATCAGTCTCCTCCCAGCTGCCACCGCCAAAGGGTGGATCAAGTCCAGCCAGAAAGTGTTTATCGATTGTCAGTTCAATACTAGTGTGCAGTCAGAGAGTGAATGTAAATTTGCAAATACCTTTTTTTTTTTTTATTGGAATGAACTTTTCAGTTGTGTTACATGGTGTGTTATGTCCTCCTAAGCAACAAGTTAGATGTTAATCACGCTTTCTACACCTGGGTACTTGGTTTAGGGACGTTTTTCCCGTTGCCAAGATTTAAAGACAGGACTCTTAGGAGTGAAGTAAAAGCATATTGCTTACACCACTTTTACCTAATACAATATATTCTATTCCCCAACCCCTAATAACCAAAAGAGGGGGAAAAAAAAAAAGAAACTGTGATGCATGAAAGCAAACTAGATTTGCTGTAATTCAATACTAACATTCTTTTCCTTGTCATTTTTGTACAAGGAATTAAAAAATAGAAACCAAGTACATTAATATCTCTCAAACAATAATGAGGATTCTTGTAAGGTTTTAAGTGGTTAAACTAAATATATACTTCACGGAAACAAAAGTTGCTCCCATTTAAGGAGCTTATGCTCCGGATGTTTTATCAGTAGCTCCTACTTTTTTTTTTTTTTAATTCTAGGAGCAATATGCAGGTGTAGTTTTACTATTTTATACATATGTGTATTTAAATTTTATTACTGAAAGATAACATTTTTATAAATGTGTTTGTGTTCCAAAGGCATTAAAATAAGGATGTATTAATAAGGAAAATACCTTTTTCAAATTCTGCAAACTACTCCTAGATTTTGGGCTTAGGAGCATATTATCTCAGAGTGGGCTTTTAGCTCTGCTTCAGGACTGCTTCCTCTGGTTTCTATGAAACAGATCGCTTGCTTATTTACATCTTTAGTTGAATGATTTGTTCAATATTGCTTTTTTCTCATCATCTTTTTAAAGGAAAGCAAAACACTTACAGACAAACAGAGCACAAGGCAAACGGAACAGAATGTAATTCTAGTTTAAATCAGCAACCGCAAAAGCACGTAGGAGGAACTTGGTTTTATTCTCAAACTCTTAAATCACTCTGAGATGGAGGTAAACGGACTTGGTTCCTCCGGTGGGCTGTGTCCTGTGTGGAACTGAGCACCTGCGACTGCCCGTGGGGTCCAGGGGTGTTGTGAGCGCTCAGCATCTCCCGGTCTGCCCGTCGTGTCCGAGACTGTCAGGCAGCCGAGGCGCTTGCAGCCTCGATGGCCAGGGCTGTTTGCGCTGGGCACCGTACGGCTGCACGTACCCACGTCACAAATTTCAAATCTGTCGGGAGTTTCTGTTCTGGCGCAGAGGAAGTTCCTTCTTCAAGTGTTGCAAATTAGTTTAATCTTGACTGCCACTGCCAGTGCAGGATATTCTGACAGACTAATCGCCACATTGCCCAAGGGATTTGATGTGGTGTATCTAACGTGGAGCAAAAGACGGTGCCGTCTGTTTATCAGTCTCAGTTGCTGATTAGACTTGATTAAAAAAAACAACAGACACTTTGCCAACACCCATTTCTTAGTACGTAGCCAGAGTCTTTACTACTTTCTTAGTGCCTTAGCTTCCTGAAAAGGGACTGACATTTCACTTCACAGTTAGACAGACATTTCACTTGAGAAATAGGGACCTCAGACAAGATATTGAACCTCATTCAGTCAGGGTTTCGGTTGGTGGCCGCATGCAGTATGCTTGCCGCTGAACTAGGATGTATGATTATGTGGAAGCGGATTGACACTGTAAGCAATATTAACATGCTAGTGCTTTTGAATATTGTTTAGGCAGAGTCGTTAACTGGCCACTACTAAAATGTAATTTTTTAAACCCTGTTTTCTAGATTTCACGTTGATTCTTTGAGGGAGGGGGGAGGGCTGGCTGATCATGCACCACTCTTTGTGCAACTGCTAAACTTCTAGTAAGGTTTTTTTTAAAAAAAATATATATATATTTTTGTGTACTTGTTGCTTGTGCTTTATTTAGTAGTAAATTGTGGAATAGAGTGATTTATTGTTAATTTGGCAGTAGCGGTTTTTAAAAACCATATACTGACTGAAACATGAGCCAGAGCTGATTGCTTTATTAAGCTAATAATGAATGTTAAGAGTACATATTTTCAGGATCATTTGCCTAGTGAGCTAAACATGTATTATAGGCCAATATTTTTTAAAATAAAGCTTGGTCAACCTCTATGTTACACATATTACAAGATATAGCACTTTCAAAAAGAAAACCTAAACCTTTTAAGAAAATTTCTTACAGGTTATGCTTTTTATTATAAAACCTTTTATTATAATTTGTTTCAAGTGCCATTAGATTACATATATGTAGGCCTTTGGTATAATGCTTTGTGTACAAAATGGTAGACATTGTAATTTTAAACAGGTACATTTTTACAGTGTTTTCTTATCAATTTGCTATATTGCACAGAACCAGTGTGTCTTTCTTAAGGGTTTTACAATGGTTTTTACTAGGTTTACATGTTTCAAACTACACTGTCTTCTACTGCCATTTTGAATCCCAGTCAAAAAATATTAGGAGTTCATCCTCACCAGTTGTAAACTGTGTCCTCTGGAGTTTCAGATGATAAACTTGCAAAAATATTTAACACGCAGTATTTGACCTGGATTTTTTATCATATCCTATCATCGCTATGCTGCTGTCTGAAGTTAACTTAGGGCCTGATCCTGCATCCGTAAACGTCAAGGGGAGCAGGATTGCATCCTTGGTTATGTCTGTCTCATACACTGGTTTAGCAGCTCCTCCTATATTCTTCTCAGTCTGTAGATAAGCCTCTGAAATACCTGTACTTATCTGCTAGGAAGTAAATTGTGTAGACTTAGCTGCCCATCCTGCATCCTCCCAGTGTACAAGTAAAACCACAGCCTACTTAGTGTTACACCCAACAAAGAAATAATGCCACAGTAGTTAAAAGTGTGTTTGGATAGTCTCAAAGTTTTTTTATGTCATAAGGGTGTCTTATTTTGTTGGAAGGCAGTGTCTTTTGATAACAGTTATCTAGCCCTGGAAGTGACACAGAACTATTGCTAATCATATGTAAACACTTTTCAGTATAAGCTTCAGTGGTACAGTTGAACCAGAGTGAATGTTTATCTCCTCAGAAACACTCCTGCAATATTGTTATATTGGATCATGCTGCTAATGTAACTTGGGATACAACTCCTCTCATGGTGCTACAAACCTCCCTGTCTCATTCAGATGTATTTTTACCCATAGAAAAAAGGACTATACTAGACCTATAGTTGTATGATATATTTTTATACTGTGACTTAATTTGTCATTAATGAACTTTGTAAAACACCACAATGTATTCATATGCACTTGCAAAAGTAAAATTTTGGACATGCAAATTCAAACGCTGACAGCCCAGCTCTTGTTCACAAAAGTAGAAGATGACTGTTAGTTAAAATTAAATGTGGGCTTTTGATATGGTGTGGAGTGAAGAACATACTATATGTTACTAAAAGCCTTTGACTTTAGATAAAAACTGGGAAAGTATATTGGGGAATGATGACACACCCAAACCTGACTCGGATTGCTGAAATTATTTTTTTAGCTAGTGAAAAAATTGTTTGGACTTGTATGCTAAAGTGTTTTAATGATAAAAGTTTTGAGTCAAAAGTAGAGAAAAAAGAACACAGAAAACCCTGCATTCCAGACTGAATTTGTATATGTTTCTTGCATTTAAAATTTGCTATCCTGTGATATGGGAAATCGAGTTGCTTATCATGTATATGTACTTTAAAATGTATTCACAAACTACTGTTGTATTTGTATAAAATATAGACAAAAAGATTGCATATATATTTTTGTGTATAAGCTCTGTAAAATAGCAATCACGTTATGAAGCTGCAGCAGAACTTCATTTTAAACATTCACATCCAAAGAAACAGACTATTTATTGTCCACATACCCTGATTATAAAATATACCTTGCTGCTATTAAACAATAGTGCTGCAGCTTCTTGTGGCCTACAGTGTTATGTTTGCTGTACAAAAATATGTGAACTCCACAAAATATATCAATAAAATTACAGAATGGTTTTAGTTAATGAATAACTTATGCCTGGCATTTTAATAGATAATCTTGATTTGCATGTTTGGATTTACAATAAGTAATTATAGAATACATCCAATTTGCTGGGTGTAATTTGATTTTTGCAAAGGTATAACAGTATTTCTAATTTAGGACTGGTAAAATGTCAGTTTTTCAGAAGATCTTACAGCATAAGTATCTGCGTTTCATGATTTCAACAAGGAACAAATTGGATGATGCTAATTTACCTGTGACAAGACAGATCTGAATTGAAAGACGCAATTGAGCTTGCCATCAAATTGCACTTTGGAATTTGCTGTGAGAAACTGGAAGGTGAGTTTGAGGCTTTCACAGGGGGAGTGGTCATTTGGGAGAAGTAGGTGAGTGATTCTCCATCACTTTACATTAATTGAAGTAATTTATATTGATTTTTATAGTTTTATGGTAAATTATACGGGCGTGGCATGCGTTGGATGCAACGCATGTGTCTCTGAAATGTTACGGGGAGAAACTTACTTTACGTTGCCTTGTCCCACAAACCTCCTGCCTGCCTAGGACGTTGCAGTTGAAGCCTCACTAAGAAGCCTGGCTCCGGCGCATTGCGACAAGAGGCAGCCTACACAGAAATGCAGACGATTGCCTCTGTGCCTGTTCCATAATGTTGTTTCACTAGCATAGATTGTTTGCGAGGAGAGTAAAAAGTAGGAGACTAGCGTTGGCGATGTGGCTGTTTCAAATTCATATTTCATTTGCTTTCATGACTGTATTTTGTTAATATCCTCAGCACTGTCTGTGTTTTCCTGCTTTTGGGTTCCTCTCTTTGAATTCTTTATTTTTTAGATTTCTTCCTGTACCCCAGTCGGAGAGAAATTATTATTATAGAGAGCTGTTGGCTTTTGCCTTCTCCCTACAAGGAGTTCTTCCTTCCTTGTTATTCCTGCCCCTTCTGTGTCACCGGCTTCTAACTTGTTTGGGAGGGTTGGCCATATTATATTAAATGTGAGTCAAAGGCTCTACAGATGCAGCAAGATGAGGTTCCTGTCAACATCTGTTTATTGCCCAAGTTTGCTTTTTGGTGTAGAAGGAAGATGGAGAAAAATCCATAGTAGGCCGTTTAAGTATTAAAGGCTCTGCAAAACCATTTATTTCACCCACAAGCAGAAAAACACCCCGTTGTCTTGCTATCATTGCCAGTGTCGTCCACCGTCGCTGAATTAGTATGTCCCCCTTCCACACTGACAGCCCCTGGAAACTTTGTCCGTCTCTGTGATAAGTGGAATGCGGTTGCATGGATGGATGGTATCTCTGTTATATCCAGAGATGAATCTTGGCAGAGTCCTTCTAGAGCTTCCGCTGTTAGCTTCAAGGGCTTCTTCCAAGACTGGGAGGAGGAGTTGGATAGGGATGGTTGTACTGTCCAAAGAATAAAAATTCTAGCCATGACTACTAGAACTTTCTTATGCATCATGTGAACTGGCAGGGCCCAGCAGGGAAGGATATTTTTTTTATTTTCCTTTCAACATATTCTTACTGCTTAAAAGAACAACTAAATTCTTCCTCCTCTAGTAACCAAGTGGGTACAAAGCCCAGGTGTCCCATATCTTCCCTGGAAGGGTAAACCCAAATAAAATGGTAAGTTAAGGATTTTACTTAACATGGTGAGGGACGCTCAAGCTCTGTGAGTTCATTTTCTCATCTTACTTCTTCCTTAGGAAAGGAGGGGGATTATGCATTGTTGAAAAAGACACCTGGAAAGATCACTGGAGTTGTACTGAACCACAAGCATCTTCCCCCCCAACTCTCTGTTCTAGCCACCCTTTCCAAAACTCACATTAGGAAGTACAGTAGACAGACAACATCTTGAGTTGTGAAGAATGAGACCCCAGTGTCCTCTCTGTATCCCTCACTGTCCTCCAGGAACGGAAGAGAAAGACTGTTCTAGTTTCCCCCTTCACTTCCCTTTCTTTTCCTTCTCATGTATAAGCACGCCCTAGGATGAAGAATGTTTGTCAGAGAAGTCTAAAACAGTAATCCAAAGCTGCTATTGGAGTAGCAGAAGCTGAGCAGCTTCATGGTGTTGGCTTCCCTGCTTTGCAAATCAAAACATTGTATTAAATCAGATAGAAATTAAGTTTTCCAAAGTGGCAGTTCCTGTAGTTGGCACAGGAGGACTTTGTGATCATAAAGAGGCAGCAACTAGGTCAGCAAGATAAGCTCTATAATAAAATTTATTCTGTGCTTAAAAGAGTTTGAGAAGTGTTTTAGAGGATTAACTGCTGCATATCATTATTAGCTACAGCCTTTAGCAAAGAAACAGCAACTCTCTATTTCCATTTTCTAACAGTGGTGGATATAGTGATGTTAAAAATGACAGACCATGGAAGTGATATGAAGTAATATGTTCCAGCTCATATGTTATATCTCAGGTAATTCAATACAGACTTTCTCTATCACTGATCAGTACAGTGTGTAACACCTTGCCCATTATTTTTATTTTACAGAATTATACCTATTTGTTGCAAAGGCCTAGGTGTCTTCAAAGAAGGAACGGTTTTAAGGGACAAGTATTTTTAAAATGTAATTAACAGTTCTGTGCTCTTCAGTGTCATTCTCACTCAACAACCTTGTCTCCTTCAGGGATATTTGTGCCATAAGATCACCAGCTTCAAAGCTGGTTTGCCTAAGAGTGGACTGAAAAAGATACCAGCTAACAGCTGAGCACTCTGAAAACAGGAATATAACAATGCATACTGTGGTTGGTTTGGAAATCGTTTGCACTGATCCTTCATAATTTGTCTGTGCCACTAATTTTAACTGTTGCACTAAACTGCAGTGTACAGAGAAGAATTTGTTGTGTCATTTTCATATAATCAGTCTGAACTCTGTTTGACGTGTGTAAAATAATGAAGAGTACTAGAATAGTGACAGTTTCATAAAATCAGTATATTGCTTAGGTTTTTATATATTTATGTGTGTGTGAATAAATATATATATATATATATATGGGGGGGTAAGCAATCAAACCTGGAAAAGTGGAGAAATTAGTTTTGTTCCGTTTTACATCAAATAGTTCCAGTCAAAAGCTTTTGTGTTTCACAAGTCCAGAATGGGCCGTGTGGCTTGTAAAGGTATCTGCTAGTTAACACAACGTTTGGTTTCCCAAGTGAGTTGGAAGAGTTTCTCCCAAATACTTGATTAATCTATGAGAGACAGAATTTATCTGTGGGGTGCACAAACTTCTGCAAGGAAGGTGTTTGTCAGCTATCCTTATGTAGTATTAGATACAATTTCAGCAGAAAAGTTCTGTAGGCTGTGCAGTTGAAATTAAGCTCATGTCAGGCTTATTGCTTTTGTATTAAATTGGGACACAGACAGTGGTGTGTAAATCCTTAAGTTTCCTCACAAGTACTTAAATTGAAGGTGAAAATAAAACATACAATCTATATGGGTAGGGGGGCATGCCATAATCAAGCAACGTCCCAGCTATAACATAAGAATATCACATATCAAACAAACACTAATGACAAGTAAACATAGACTAAAACTCCAAACTCATTGATGTCTGTCATCACCTAAAAACTGTATCTCCTCTTTTCTTTTGTCAGTGCATCGCTTGTTACGCTGGTAAAGTACTACAGGATTTCTCAGAAGTTTTCTATGCTTCATTCAGCTTAGCCATGTTTTTCTTCAGCAATATTTTTGCAGCAAGCTTGTTCGCTGATGTAGTCCACATAACCATGTAGTCAAACTGTATGAATCATTTTAATCGGGTAGGTTTAATACCCTTTAACTCATGGCAGTCTCTGATAATTTGCTGTGGCCCACCAGAGTGCCCAGATTATTATTTCAGAGCCACTGAATTTAGCTGGTCCTCCTGCCTCCTTCCCTGTTTGCAACACACTATAGACGTGGTGTTTGCAGGGAGCTACTGTGCTTGCTGTGGCTGTGTGTTTTGAAGAGTAGTGGAACTGGAGTTGGATAGTATCTGTGCTCATGGGGCTGTGTGAGCTGCTGGGATATATCCTCTTATATATCATATGGTCAGCATCCTCCCCTTCAACGTAAGAATTCAGCCCTAGGCATCGGCATTACATCTGATGTACCTGGGAAAGCACCTCTCACCAAGTGGTAGAATAGCACTAACGTTATCCCCTAGGCCCTTTGCTATCGTGGTCCATTTTTGTTATTAAGCCTTGAAGCTGTTTTCTAGTGCCTACGCTACAGGTCTCAAATTCCACCATTACTCTTTATTTCCCTGTGACCCAGCAAGGCTATCAATCAGCTTTGCTGCAGGAGCAAGACTGCAAAAACAATCTTGGATGATTTCACTGAAAATACTGCACAAGGGGCCAGCAGTAAACCTGGCTGGCTGGGCACCTGCCTTGCCTGGCCAGAAAGTATCGCTATGCATCAGAAGTGTGGTATTAATGCACAGCAGCAGGTCCCAAATTGTGATCCCTGGTCCATTGGTGGTCAATGAGGCCACAGAAAGTTGACTGTGAAACTTCATCTGCCTTGCTAGTGCCTTCAGTTAAAACGTCAGTGCACGGTGGTAACGAGAACCTTTGCTTCCTGCTCTTGCACACACACAGTAACCTTACTGGGGAGGGAAAAAGTAACAGGCAACTGTTTGGCAATGTGTGTCTGAAATTCGATCTTGTTATTTATAAACTAGAGTTTAATCTTTGTAAGTGTTTATTATTATGGCTCCGTTCTGAAGATCAGCTGTAAAATAGTGTCACAGTTCTTGCAGATGTAGTTGTTATTTGCATTCTGACTTCCTTAATGAAAACTTGTTTGCATGTGCTACTGCAAGGTGTCATGTGTCCCACCCAAACAGCCAAACTCTATGTATGAACTGCATTCTTCTCTGGCTTGTGCTTTTAATCAGTGGCCTAACTTCAGAACAAGCTGTATGTATGGACTGGCTTCAGATAGTGGTATCACTTTCACCTGTGCAATTGCTTGTATCAGAATTGCTTTCATGCAACTCAGAATATCATTTCAGGTCAATGAGGTGTGACTGGAAGCAGCATTTGGACTGTAAAATACTATATGAGTAAGAAAGAACGTAGCTTGATCATCAAATCCTAAACTCAGATCGCAGGGACTGACAGTAAATGAAGAAAAAAAACCCTTTGATTTAAAACTGGGAACAGAATTCTCAGAAATCACTAAGATATGGGCTGAGGAACCATAGCTTTTTTCAGAGTAGGACTGTAATTTAAAGTATTTAGGAGCTAAATTTGAGTCCTTTAGCAAGATTATGAAGTAATTTAGTGGAGACACAATGCTACCTTTATACTGTAAAGCAATTCTTAGAAGCCACTGAATAGCCAGATCTTGAAGGAGAAATGCCCAAAGAAATAAAGTAATGATTGTGGGAAGAATACAATTATACACTTCTAAACTCTCTAAAATCAGTTCCAGCCTCCAGTTTTGTCCATTTCATGTTTTAGGCGAAAATGTTCCACTTAAGAATCACAACAGTAGTGCACCTTGATCAAAACCAAGCTCCACTTTAAGAGTAAGGGACATAGGTATTTGGTATGTATCCTCTGTTGTGTCATGTTATATACATATCAGTTCTTTATACTGTAAGTCCCTTGGTATCAAGGCTGTCTTCTTCGGTCCTGCAAAGCAATGAACAACAAAAGTAACAAGCAGTAAAAGCAAACAAAGAGTTCTTGATTTATAATTGAAATATAA